TGGGTTCCGTGTGTGTGTGTATTTACCTTCATATTTGACTATTGCTTATAGTCCAACAACTGGAAGTGAAATTTGGAAACAAATATCGATAGCTAATTTGAATTCATACACAACGCTTTCACTTTTGTCGTTAAACATTGAAATGTAACGATAAATCAGTTTATCTTTCAAATCTGTCCCTGAACAACAATTGACTCCCAAAGTTAGCACAACTTGAGAGTATTATTGTTCCTTACCTACAGTACTAATCATCTAACTCGAAACACTTCCTTGCTCGTGACTTCAGATGAGCACGAATGGATCTTAAACTAAAGATCGCATCAAATCTGCTCCAAAGATGATTTCTTAAGCATCATGAATTGGAAACGGTAAAGGTGGATACTGAAAAGCCCTACTTGATACATTTCTGCAGGATATCCATTTATTCCTTCCACTGACAGTGGAGCAACGCAATAACTTAATCATTGGCCATCTATTCAGTATGCAGACAGCCAGAGCACACTTCCAGTTGCTTATTTACTGCATAATCAGGATAGATATAGGTAATGCACTTGTGGTTTTTATTTTCTTATTTTTCCTCAGCTGGAAATCGAAATGAATTCACTGGACGTATTTTGAAAGGTAAGAAAAAAACCCCCAAAAACGCTAATGCCAAATAAAATATAGGCCTACTTATAGTTTCACGTTCGAGATTTGAAATTATTTTTCGTGAGGGTATTTACTACAGTATTTGCTTTTTACCATCCTTCTGATATACCGTAGTAGTGGTAAACGGGCTGGTAAATAATAATGGCTTTTTAAATAGAAAAGTGACATGAACCTTTGTAATGTATTCTCCCGTTTGGTGTTTCTATACCTCTTTCGGGGTTTTGACAACAATCTTTCAGATCATTACTATTTATAATTGTTCATGCAAAAATGATTGGTTTTATTTTTTTAAAATTGCAAATAATAATTTATTTTTCATGTGGCTCCAAAATTTGATGAGGGCGGGGACGTAAAAATAGCAATTAATTTTAATTTGTCTAATATATCTGTTAGATTTTTTTTAAAATTATTGATATGGTTAACTTTTCATCGTAACTATTAGAAAAAAAAAACTACCGGCACAAGCGATTGGTGAATGGGTTTGGTGACAAACCACAAACTTCGACGTGTACTAATGGGTTTAAATGTTCGGTATATAATTATTATGGAAACGTGTTAATTAGAATTATATACAATATCTCTTACCTCTTCCTCATCTTTCTTGTGTAAAAATATATTAATTTAAATAATTTGTGTTTTATTGTAATGAACATAATTTCTATGTAAATATCATGTAATTCAGCTGCAATTTGATATAACACCGTGGAATTGAATTGAATAGGCGTAATAGTAAGCCTACTTCGGAAAAACTGTCCTTATCAAAGGACTAAAATTAAATGAAACCTGTTCTCATAGGTAATTATATATATCTGAATTTCCAACAGGAGCGGAAGAATGGTTCGCTGTTTCGAATACTGATATTTGTAAACACACATTCTTCGTAACATTTATTGACAAATTGACAATTTTACATACAAAGGCATCAAAATAAGCGGCTGTTTGGATACCAAACATTTATAAAACATGGAAGTATTATCAATAATAGGCCTACCTTCATGCATAAACAAACAGGATACGTGCAAAAACAATAAAAAATGTAATTTTAATTGTTGGGTCACCCACAATTGAAATGGTGTTTCAAGTTAAAATCTTCGTTTACAACAATACCTATGAATGTGACGTTATTTATTATTTTTAGGTTGGTATAATTCTTTCTGATAAAGATATTTTGTGATTGCTTTGAATTGTTTGTGGTTAAAATTTATAATGTTCAGTGTATGGGTTAAATTTTAATGTCTTTTAGTAATAAACGGTGTGTCATCCACGTAAGAGATTACATTAACACGCATTAACTACATTGCCAAAAATTGCAATATATCGTTAACGTAAAATAGTAAAAGTCCTGAAGTCAGTCACTGGGTACCCCAC